GTGTGCGGCGGGAACTCACTCGTGGCTTGGGGGGACACGGCGCCGGTGCTGTGCGCGAGAGCAGCTGTCTGGGTCGTGCGTTTCGTTGTTGTGTTTTCTCCTTATTTGTACCGTTGTTGTTCCTGTTTTCCCTCTGTTTGCTGTTCTGTTAAACTGCCCTTATCCCGACCCACCAGTTTCTGCCTGTTTCTTTTCATTCTCCTCCGCATGCCAGCAGGGGGAGGGGCGGCCGCGTGGCGCTTTCGTTGCCGGCGGCAGCCGAAACCAGAACAGTCTTATAGAGGAGAAAACAAGTGCAAGTACGTGACGTGATTTACCACGATGCCACTTCAGCTCACTGTCAGAGTGGAAAGTGGAACTGGCTCTTTGAAGTCCCGGTCCTGTTCCAGTTCCCATTCCAAAGGACCAGGCTCATCCGAGAGGTCTTAAGCACTTTCAGATTATTAAATATGGGGTGCTACATACCGTCTTTGTTAAAATTCAGCAGTAAATGGGCTTTCATCAAGTACCTGATGCCTTGGCTAATACCTTATTGTTCCTGAACACAGCCTAATCAGAAGCAAACAGATGAAAATTTACCTTCATGGTCACGGAGCCATCCATCTTCTCCAGCTCACCAAGTAACGCTGACAGCAAGGAGGACTTTCCAGCACCCAGCTGGCCAACTACAGCAAGCAAGGAGCCTTGGGGCACGGTAAGATCTATCCTATAGAGAAAAGATTACTCTCTTATCACCTTTTAGATACACTTTCTGCAAAGAAAGTGACCAAAATTCTTGCTATTATCTTGTAGCAATAAAAATGTACCAGCTAAATCCCCTAATTTCATACTTGAGGCCTTGGTTGCACATGGTTACTCTTCCTGTCATGCTGACTTTTTGCAGCAGAACAGGACTCATCCCTTCAAAGACACCTCCAACCAGAAAGTCTTCATCCATGTTCCCGAGTGTCAAACCCAGATCCAAGACCCAGGTCCCCACTCTGCAGACAGGCTAGCCCAAAGCACTGAATATAAAACGTTCCTGAATATCAGAACTTTTCAATACGGTTTCCTCTCTAAAATTGCAATGCCTTTTGAAATAAGCATATAGTGATGTCATGCATAGTATCTGGATACCATCAATTCTACTTTGTTCACTTAAATTACTGTAGTTTCATACTTGGACAAGAAAATTGTGTAAAGAAAGCAGTCCCCATGTATTAAGGCAACATCCAGATACAGGCATCTTCCTATTTATGTGCTCCCAAGCCTAAAAGCAAGATTACATTTTGTCTGACTTTATAATTTTCAGAATTCAACATTGAATATGAAGCAAACTCAGAAGCCTCTAGATATTCCACACTGGTTTCACTTAGGCCCTGAGGAATTAGTTCATTCAGCATCCACCCTGACCTACAGAATTAAGATGACTAAGGGTAAGTCTGTACCTTCTAAGACAAGGAGAAGCTTCTTTGCTCCAGCAAAAAGTCCCATTTCTTATGGTGATACTTGCCTGTACTAAAATATAAGGAAAAATAGAACGCTTCTAAATTCAAATGTAGGTATAGAAACATCTCGATTTATGTGACTTTATATTTCAGTGTGTGTATTTATATTACATAAAAAGAACATTAAGTATGAAAAGAAGGGGTTAATTATCGGATTAGATGTCATCGTTAGAAATAAATAGGCCTGAGAGATAAAATTGCAGTAAGGGCCAAACATTTTTCTCTTGACTGTGGTAAGCGCCCTAAGAGTGGAAGCTGAACAATGGAAGCCTCTCCTTTTACAAGACAACAATGCTAATACAAAAGCTCACCACAGTCAGAAGTGTTTCTGTCTGAGCTCTCAAAATTCAGTTCTTCCAGATTCAGAAAAGCTGCTAAGCGGTTTAAAGAAACTTTGGCCTGAAATGAAACAGCACACAAAAGAATAAGATTTAGAATACAAAGGAAGTGAAAACCCAAAGTGAAGCCAACTTGAAGACCTACTTAGAATGCTGACTAGGTGCTATGTTGCAGATGCTGTAGGCCTAGATGGACAAATGCAGCTCTTCCTTATGTTAACTGCCTTTATTTCTACTTAGCTTAGCAAAACCCCATATTCTTCTCTGTATCTTCTCTTCTGTGCACACAGTGAAATTGGTGCTTTTTTTCTCCAATTCATCCTGCGATATTTCCAGTGATTGCTTCTGTACGTGAAGAATTGTGACAGTCTTCTTAGGGTGCAAGAGGTAAGTGCAATTGCCCAATTTCTTACTGGACAATGACTTGCTTTTCTCTCTAGCCTGGGCTAGCAGGGTTTCCACTGATCTCCCATGGAGATTTTGCTCCATCTGTTCTGATTTCTGTGATTAAAAACAGAACTGGAAGCACTTCTGAGATCTAACGGTACTCATGATTGGCTCCAAAACACTTAAGAGTTGTTCTTGGTAGCTGTTTTGTCAACGTATGGAGCCTTTCTGAAAAACAATGCTAGAAAATACCTTTAGCTGCAAGTCCTTGCACGTCACTGTTTCACAATAGCAACTAAATAGCTAGTCCTGACGTTCAAAGTCCAAAGAAATCCCTACCTTTATCTGTTAATGGTGATATGTAAAAAAACAGTTATGGCCAAAGAAAAAGGAACATAGCCTGCAATTAACCTGGACAGCAGCATTTATGGAGAATGGCAGGAAGGAGTGCGCAGTGTTGAGAATGTTGATCAGTGTTAAAGATACAAAGGCCTTCTGAGCATCCAGGACGTGTGTATTATCCACCAAGGTGTAGACAGCAAACATGACAAATGCAATCTGAAAGTGAGCAAAGGAAAAGCAAACCATTTGCTTGAGACAGGGAAGAGAATGGTTCAAGGGTAACAGGCCCCTTCCTAAAGACTCGAATCCATTGAGTCAAATCCAGGCTATCACCCATAGACGTGGTATCCATGCTGCAAATATCATAGGCCAAAGGTCTTGCACATTGGTGACAAAACCAAGTCTGATCATTTGACATTTGTTCTGCTTTAAGGAAGTTTTGGTGCTGCAGCCACAGCAAGGTGAAAGCACAGCCATTTCCCATTGAAAACACATACAGCTGAGCTGCAACAGCAAGAGCAAAAGTGGCATGTGCAGCTACTGACTATGCCATGAACTCTGTCTAGCTGGAGGTCTCCAGGTGGTTCTTGCAAACTGGGCTCAGTCTGCCTGGTGCACACTGCCAGACCAGGCGACGTGTCCATGAAAGTTAGGACAGTGTAAATATCTGTGTGGCTGATTCCACTGGGGCTCAGCAATTCCTGTAAGACCACCAAGTCCTCCAGGCAGACATCTTCTTTATCTGTCCCACAGGAAAAATTTGTCCAGACAGGAGTACAAAGAGAATTGGAAGTAATAGCATATTATACGTAGGAAGGTGAACCACTCACTAGGAAAGTCGATGAATGGAAAGAAGCTAGAGATGCTGAGAAGAGAGTTTGAGATCTTTTTAGGGCCTGAAGTTCTTGCTTCCGGATACCAAGTACTTTCTCTATGAAGGTTTTCTCCCAGCCATACAGTTTGATTACTTTAATGTCATTGAGAATGGTACTGGTGAGTTTAGCCCGCTCATCTTTATGTTTCATCTGGGTCTCCTGTAATAAATGTTTGAGTTTTATCATTTAATAGGTTGAACGTTTAACAGTGCAGTTATTCTGAAAAACCACCTTATTCCTGCTTATGAATTCTGAATAAATTTCCCTGCAGTTGACCTGTGTTGCTTATGAATCTTCCATGCTGGGAAATATTTTGCTTTTCATCTTCAGGGCTTTATTTTTATTGGCAATACATAAAAAACACAGAAAAGGTGGGCAAACAAGGTAAAAGACTGAACATGCAAGATCTTACTCTAAACTTCAAGAAGCTTTGCAGGCTTCGACTTTTCCTATGTTCCTTCAGATTGTCATGGTCAGCATGAATAATAAATATTAAGCTACAAATTGTTGTAAAATGTTAGTGATATGCTTCAGTACAATACGACTTTTTTTTCTTCAACCCCCCCACCCCCACCCCCCAGCCTACTGTAATCATCAGTAGCCTTGGGTTCCATGTGATCCTTATCTGGAAGAGCATGGCAGCCCTTAACTTAGATTTAAAAGCAGTAGCCTAGCATAATTCGAGTCAGTAAGCCACTTTATTTTTATGAACCAAAAATGTACCTGAAACTGACTCCTCTTCTTGGTGATCACAAAATTCAGAGGCAAAAGAAGAAGGAATACAGCAATTGAAGCCAAGGCAGAGGGCCCAAGAAGCTGCCAGGAGAGAAAAGGAAAGAGGAAGAACTTCTGGTGATTATTAGAAATGAATTGACTGTTTTCCATTACCCCTTGCTTACCTTCCCTCTTACTTGAACTTATGCCGAACGTCCCTCATGGCTAAGACTTTAATCTTGCTTTTGCCTTTCCTGGGAATTGTGCTCCCTAAGCACTGTGGACTGTTAACTTTCCAGGCAGGGTAACTCCTGTCATCATGCTCTACTGATTTTATTTGCTTCCCTTTTAGGAACTATATTAGCGTTGAAAGCAATCCAGAAGCACACTGGCAGTTCAGATGATGTCTGTCTCTGCCCATCTCTATTCTTGGATGTGTTAAGGAGGACATCTTGTGGCTGGCACGAGTGACCCAAAACAAAACCAGGTTTTGTTTAAAAAACAAACCGAAACTCTCAACAAACTAAATAGCCCAGCTTGTCTGAATTTACATCAACTAGTGAGATGAAATGGTAGCATTATACTGTGCCACATAGTCTTGGAACACCTCTTGGATACCAGGGTTCATAATGACTTGCATATCAAAATAGAGTTTGTTTCTTATAATTTAGTTACATCTCTATAGATGGCTAAAGTTTGCTAGAGAGGTGAGTGCTGGTATACACAGAGAGATAAAGGTATTCTCTACACAAATGGTCTATGAACGCTAGCAAATAAAGTGTTAATTATGCTTCAGCTACATGCAACCACATTCAGCTTGTCAACATTGCTAAAAAAGGGATGATGATTTCTCAACAGTCTATAGCACGGCTACTAATTTTCCAAGGTCATAATATCCTGCCAGGCACAAGGCACAGTCCATCCTGGTTAGCAAAGCAAGGTCTCAAAGGCCTCTGAAAGCTCCTGGGAATCAACTGTTTCTATAGTGCTCACACTTCCACTTAGTGTGTTGCTAAAAACATGGACTAAGAAATGGGGCTTTATCCTGCTGAGAAAATGCCATACATTGAATTAGGGGAAAAAAAGGATGTTTTAGATAATGATCCTTTATTTCTCATCAGGTTTTGCTCAGTCCTTGCTAAACTCCTTCATGCCTATGAAATTCAATGTATCCAATATTCTTTTTTGAATATCGTGTAACTGTTTCAAACTGTTTCACTGATCTTGTGGTAACCAGGCTTCAGGATGAAGTATGTCAAGTTGCCATTGCAGTCCATTCCGCTTTATGTTCTGTGACTATGCTGAGAAGCCGGAACTGGACTCTCAGCTTGCACTGGGCCACCACATTTTGGTTGAAAAGAGAGGTGCCAGAGGAAAATCTGAGGCAAAAGTTTATCAGTCAGCTCAGAATAACCATACTCACAGTCTTTTCCCTAAAAGAGACTGAATACTGAATGCTGACGGAGCCCTGGCCCAGGCTGCCCAGAGAGGTTGTGGATTCTTCTTCTCTGGAGATATTCAAGACCCGCCCAGACGCGGTCCTGTGCAGCCTGTTCTAGGTGACCCTGCTTCGGCAGGGGGGTTGGACTAGAAGACCCACAGAGGTCCCTTCCAACACCTACCATTCTGTGATTCTGTGATACATAGGTGAGAAGATGAAGTGAAAGATCAGGTAAGGATTCTATACCAATAAAAATATCTTCTAAAAAGAAAAGTGAATCCACATGCTATAGAGCTAAGAAAAATATGGCCATTTCAAGTTACTCAGACCAGAAAAGCTCCTTTTTCCTTTGATACCTAGAATACAAAGGGATTGATAAGTATTTTCATCATATTTTACCTGCCACAAGAAGATAAAGCAGATGATAATCCGAATAGGAGCAAGCCAGACCCCATTAAAATAGATAATCAGATCCATTAGCTTTTGGACATCAACAGATATGAGATTGACAATTTCACCTACTGTTGCTGCTTTCCTTGATGCATTTGACATAACTAGGATCTAGACAGGGTAGAGAAGAAATGAAAGTCATCATCAGCCAACTGTTGTGGTCCAAAAATCAAGCAACTTTCTTTTCCTTATAAAGAAACAAAAAAAGGGATGGAGAAAAATGTCAGATCCTAGGCACTGAAAACACACTGTTCCTTGGGATATGTGACTTCACTTTAGGATGAAGAATTTACTTCTTTCCCCAGCCATAATCTACATCATAAGAAAGTTTATGTTGCTTTTTCCTCTTTACTTGACTTTTCCTCCACAGCTAAGATCTGAAAAACAAATAGTAAAATACCTCCCACATATTATTCAGAGATGACTATAGCACAGAATTACATCCTAAAAGTAGTTTCTAATAACATCTCCCCTGATACTGTTAAGAACAACGTACCAACATTGTTGTAACTGCTAATGTAGGGCTAGAAAAAAAGGAAACTGAAAAGGCTCACCTTTCTGTACACAAGCCCTGTTACTGCAGTTTTCAGTCTCAGCCCCAGAACAAGACACATGTACATATATCGTTGTTCAAAAAGAGTCTGGAGACAAGCCAAAAGGAACATAGTGAAGGCATAGAAATAACCATGCCAGCTAGCTGCTTCTTGATCTTCAATGAACTCCAGGAAAAGGCTGCAAGACATAAGCAAAATGTTGATGAATCCATGCAGAACCGATGAAATATCAGACACACAAAAATGCAGAAATACCAGGGATTTTTCTGTATTGTCTCTGGCTGATGTTTATCAGTAAAACTGCAGAGGAGTTGGAAAACCTGCTCAGTGTCCTATGTCTTATAATATCCTGATTTTTGACATTTAGCCACACTTGGTTTTGAAGCAATCTCTGATCTCAGCATCTTCTCAGGGGAGACCTCATTTTCAGTGTTAAGGATGGCTCCCGAATTTCATGAATTTGTCAGAAATATGCAAATTGGGAGCCATAATCTAAGGAAGTCACTGACATTTCCAGAACTTCTCGTAATCTTAATGACTAAGAAGTGATTTTGCCCTTGAAAATCAACTGTAATGCAGGTTTGTGTTGTACCAACGCAATCCACAAAGCAATATGTCAACTGACTAAAAAAGCTATTTAAGATGTCTAGGATGCACAGATGTACTCTTTATAATTAGTCAGGGAACATGGAATCTTAAGACTACAGCAAGTGGCTGACAGCCTGTGCAAATCATGTGGTATGTAGAACCACCACATGACTCACTCCTGTTCTAGTACAGTTGTCAAAAGGCTTAGTGCAGCCTATCCTTTCCACTGTTGGAATGCAGCAGTGGAGAAGGCATGCACAGCTTTAGACAGTGGTTCTTTTTTTTTTCCCCCCACTAAATTGACTGTGGTCTTAGCACAAATGATAATCCAGCTCTTTTCATCAGCACTAGGAGACTTCAAAAGAGAAGTATTTGTGTGTCCATACGCATCTGTGTGTGAGCTCATGCACACATCAATCTTGTACGTGTGATAGAAATACATTATAAATACGCACATACCTCAGTAACTTTGGGATGGAGAACAAGAAGACATCACAGATAACTAAGCAGACAGTGCTGAGAAGGAAATAGGTTCCAAACATGCTCCAAAACACTTTCAGTAAGAGCCTGCTCTGACTGTGCTCCAATTGCAGTAGAGCCTCTGTCTCTTCAGCTTCTGCTATGCCAGGTTCACTCTTCTGACTCTTTTTAAAGGTAGCAGACTCAATTTTTCTAAAGAAACAATGAGAAAGCTAGCTGCAATTGGAGAAAGCTTGGGAATCTCATGCTTTCAAAAAATTATTAAATATCTCACATTGCGTCTCATGCCATGTCCAGTATAAAGGCTCATTGAAAAATGATCCCTTTCACAAAAAACGTACAGTTCCATGCTTCCAGAAATGGAATGATGTTCTCCAGCAGATTTCAATGCTTAAAATTAGATTTTGCACAAAGGAACTCACTCACTGAGCACTCACCCCAAGTTTTCAAAGCAAAGTGTTACTTGGACCATTTTATATATGCTGTCCTTTTCTTCTTGTTTAACAGACAAATAATTTAGTGGGATTGAATCCTTCAACCATTCTCTTGTCCAGGTAGGAGGCACCTAGCAGAGCTTATGTTCAGAGTCTGAATATGTGCTGAACCAGTCTGTCTAGTATTCTGTGGGGAATGGAGGGGATTAAAGCCTGTTCTGAGATCGCACACCAGCACCTGTACTTGTTTATACAATCCAGAAACAAGAGAGAAACTGCCCAGCTGAGCCCATGACACACTCTCTAGATCAATTACTCACTGCTGGGTTCTGCTATGACACTTCTTCCACTCTCTTTCAGCCCAGGTAACAATTTCTTCAGACGAGTCCTCTTTTCTCACCGGCCACAAGTCATCCACCCCCAAAGACTGCTGACAGCCTTTCCGGACAAGCCTGGAGAACACACAAACTGCTGTAAGGTAAGCACAGAAGGATTTGTTGTGCATGTAATGTTTTCAAAACAGATGGCCTTTAAGTTAGTGCACCACAGTGAGCACATAGGGACTGACTTACACAAAACACTACTTGGGAATATCCTTTCCCAGAATAAATATGAATGTTCAGGAACAGCAGTATTGCTTCAAATCCCTATGTTATCTTCTGTCAACATTATGAGGATTTGCAAGTAAGCTCTAATTTCTAGTCCATACTCAGAGCTGGGTCTTGAGCACTGGGGGACAAAGTTCAGTTTAACTTACTCTGTGGCTCACTGAAACACAGATGAGACCTTATCATAGCAGACTTTAGGCCCAAGGCATGCAATCATTTTACTTCTGCATGCTAAGCAGCAGGCTGGGCCAGCATCCTCATTCACTATTGTCCCCTTGCCCTTGTTATGGGAAGGTCTGGCAGGCAGATAGGGCTGTGGTTGGCGTGCAGTGATCTTTTGAGATTGCTGAGGTCTATTTCAAGATCAGGAGGGCGCTGGAAGGGGGAAGATAATTAGCTAGAATCACAAATTTGTGCTTCGAACTACTTTGAGAGAAGTAAGATAATTTTCTTTTAATTTGATCTTGTTAGAATACCTCAAGTCCCCACAGAAAGAATTTAAATCCTCACTGCATAAGCTAACTTGGGGGCTGAGAGATTTCCTACTGGCAGTCATCTACACCCTCTGTTATGCTGCTGCTTTTTTCTGATATTCTAGCAAAACCATGTCTTCTTCTGTGTTTTCTTACCCAGAGAACCACCAGTATGTGATCTTGGAAAGAAAAGAGGTGCTGGCTTCTGGACACTGATTCTGATAGGAGGAAAAACATGGGTGATATTTATATATAGAAAAGGGCATCAGTCAGATTAATATAATCACCTTTTGTGCTTCCCCAGGAAAAACAATCAAAAAGTTACACGTCCCCCATTCATTGACCCTGATGGCGTAAATGTATTGTGGAGGATCAATGGAATCCGGAGACTTTGGAGAATTAGACTTTGAATAATGTCTCAGATGGAGGAACAAAGAATATCATTCTTCATACCCAAAGACATTTATTTACTGAAGCACAGAGCTCTGTCATACCTCAAATAGAGTACTGCTCACACAGGAGAGCATGGGGAAGCCACATGAGCCCTATCTACTGGTTTCAATGAAAATAAATGTGACTATGGATAGAAGAGGTTTTTAGTTTTTCAACACATACATAGAGAGACAAAGTACTGTTATCCCAAGTTCTGCTGGTTACCTTTTAAAACCTTTGGCCTTTATACAGAATGATGCATCTTACATCTCCCAGATACTCGTGTTTCTGTGTATCCCCGTAAATTTAAATTCCTGTTTGAACAATAAAGCAATGCATTATGAAAAGCTATGTTATACTTACAGGATTGTTGACAGCTTTAGAGAAGAAGGGAGGGTGATCAACTAAGCAAAATAACACAAGTTCTCCTAGCACCAGGCTAGCATAAAGGTAAGTTGTAATGTGGCGGAAATGGTCTTCCAGGAAGCCCTATGAAATAGAATGCTGTTAAGAATGAGGTAAAAACCTTCATGTGAAATCAGCGGAGAAAGATAGCTACTCATGTTCTACTACCCATAAGCTCTGCGTTTTGGTTCAAAGCATGAGGCACGTTTATTTCAACTGTAGTTATGTAAAGCTACTTAAATAGATAACTCCTGAAACTGGCATATCAGAAAATGCTAAATAATGGACATATTTGTTATTTATGGTGATGGTTTTATCGTGAGGCTTCCTAGCAGTCTAGTCAAGCCAGATGTCCGCATTGCGTCATGATTCAGGGAACTCTGTGTGCTCTGAGGGATAGAAGCTCCTTGCTCACCTAGTGGATTTGTTGGTATAATAAAGCAGCTGCCAGTTTTTATTATAAGCGGTGTGTCTAAGGGGCTCCATGAAGGGCACTCTGATTAATTTTGTGAATGAGAAAGACAAAAACCAAGGAAAAAGTCTGAGCATTTTTGGAACTGCATTTTGGAAGAAAGAAGTGGCAAAGTGTTATTTCTACAAGGGGCCTAGTGCCTAAGTATCATTCAACCCAGCAGCACCAAGCAAGTTCCCAACTGTCTTTTGTATAATCGCCGCATACTTTTCCTCTATTACTTAAACACACAGGTAACATAAACTTTTGTTTATTCTTTGTTATGATGGAAAGGTACAACTGTTCACCTGAGGAATATGGTCACTGACAATAAGTCTCAGATGTGTAAACCCAGCCAGCACTCCTCCACAAATACCCAAATAACAAAAATGTATAATGTATCAACATACTTATGCTGATACAAAATCTGGCATAAGGCCAGTTTTTAGTGACAGCATTTATGTTCATTTTGCTTTTATTCATATATCAAGTCTGCCAAGCTCTCAGAAAACCACACTGTCTACATTGAGAGGGATAACACGGATGGAGATGACAAAGTGTCATCAATCATTTTTCTCAGCATGTATCTTAAAAGAGGAATTTGATTCTCCACCTCACAATCAATGAGGCAAAAAGAGCCCTGTTAGAGACTCCACACCCCTGCACATTAAAGATACGTGATTTCACTTACTCTTTCCAGGGTATGTTGGACTTTGGAACTAAACATCACAACTGCAGCCATGAATGAGAGCAGCCAGTAAATCAACAGGATGCCTGAAGATTGGATGCCCATCATTCTCTCCGCTTGGGTAAGGAACATGGCAAGGATCTGTGAGGAAGTACAAATTTCTCCAAATAAATAACTAGCTATGGAATACTAAACATCATTATCAAATTAATCGATACAATAGAGAAAAATCAGTTATGTCTTTCCCAAACATTTCAAGGTGTTCAGAGCTGCAGTATTGTTCCTAAAAGGCTAAAACTGAAAAGTATTATTTGCAATTTTGTATTAAAGAATGTCTCTCCAGAAAGGGCAAGTAATAAAACTACAAGTGGGCCAACAGGCTGGGAGGATGTAGACTACAAAGATGCAATGACAGAAGGGGAGAATAGGCATCTAGGTTGAACAGAAAATCCGATTTCTTTCTAAACCATACTAAATCGCATACTGTGGATATGAGAAATTAGATCTTGTCTTGTTCTTGTGAGACCTCTTTCTAAACACTACTGCTACCTCGGCTCTTGCGAGGTGTACTCTGCCCACAGGGCTCTATGCCGTAGCTGTAGACCCAGTGGTCTGCCCGAACTCCAAACTGCTGCTGTGTCACATAGCAGAAACTCACAAAGCGCACCTCCAGCCTTCTGCTCCCCATCAGCCATCTGTGTGCTCAAAAATACTGAGAAACACGGGAAATGCAATATCCACCCCGTCCACCCGAGGGGGGCTAAGCTGGGCCACATGCAGACAAAGGAAAAATTACCATTGTGATCCCCACCATGGCAGGGCTAATGAAGAATGCTGGAGCCCGTGGGATTCCATGGCTTATTTCCCACAGTACAAAGAAGACATTAGAAAAACACAGTATTGCCAGGATGAATCCAAGGACCTGGGGAAGAGACAGCAAATGCACGTTGGAATGGACTGAAATGGTGATGGGACAAGCTACTGAACTGAATGCTACAAGCAGCCTGGGTGGTAAGACTGGAGAGGTGGAAGAGCAGGTTTGAGATTGAGAGCATTACAGGAAGTAGTGGGGAACCGAATGGAAGTACAGGGGACAATATCTTATGACAGTTCTTCCTAAAACTTTACTTGATTTATACTGAACTGACTTTACTGCAGTCAGTAAATGTCAAAGCAAACACAGATATGGATCACCAGAAAAGAGTTAATGATTTAGGAAAATTAAGTTCTTCATCGAAGTTGTGATAATGTTAGGATCAAACCCCATCCTCCACCGTTACCATTTTGGTTTTGAAGATGTGGGACATCCTGATATAGCCTTTGTTTTTGCGCCGAAGATACAAGTAGTAGAAAGGAAAACAGATCCAAAGATAGGCACAAGGGATCCAAGCAATGACTGTACTCTCAAAACACCAGGTAATTCTTGGGGTGTTTGTATACCATGTCTGGTTCCAGTCCTGTCACAGAATCAACACAGAAGTGAAACAGTAAAGCTATTGTATGCAGAATTTCACCAACTAATGCAAGTTGCTAATGCTACAACTGAGATCTACTATAATGTTAGAGGAATTTGATTTAGGGTTTCAAATGTAAAAAACATTTGGCAACAGAGGGGCTGCTGGAGAATAGTAAGGTGTCACAGGTGAGAGAGGGAGGGAGGGAGAGAGGGAAGGATGATTCAGCAGTAGCATTTTGGAGGGAATGGAAGTAGAAAGAGGGGAAAACAAAAGGTTGGAAAAGTGAAAGATGCCAAAGAAAGGACATCATGTGTCACAAACAGAGAGAAAAAAATGAGAATAAATTTAAATTATTGAATGTAGAGTGAGAAAAAGAAATTTGGGAATGAAAAAGATTATCAGCATTTGCAAACCCTCAGAATAATCAGTAGGGAATGACTGGTGAAATGGAGATTAGGAGGAAAGAAATGTCCTAGTGCATAAACTGCATCACAGCTGCATTTCCTCAGCTGTATTTATAACCCATTTGTAATTTTTTTGACTGAACAAATAGTTGGATCTTATGTGCTAACATAATAATACTAAAAATACAGCAACTGTAGATGAACAGGTGAGGGTATTTTTTTCTTCAGCAGCTTGTGGAGATGGGTCGAGTCCTTTATGTGGAGGATATGATGCAAAGCAAGGCTACAGGAATCACTTTATGAAAAGAGGAAGCAGATAATGGATCACAAATCATTATGGGCATTTATCAACCTTGAGGATGGACTGATCAACACATCAGAGCCCTTTCAAAGGTATTTTTGTAGTGGGTCGTTCAGCAGATACTTTCTGAAGACAATAAAGGGACCAATTTCCACATCCTTCCAGCCGTGCAGGGGACTGCCGCTCCCATGCAGCTCTCACCAAATTCACCGTCGCTGGATACAGACCTGGGCTGTTCTCTCACCGCGGTGAAAGCTCGTCCCTGGGAGGCAAAGTCCGCAACACCAGTCGCGCCTGGTGGAAGCAGGCGTCGCGGCTCGCCCGGCCTTCCTCAGGCACCGCGCTGGCAGCCGCTGTCC